TCCCCTTGCATTTGTGCCTCTACCATGCACGCTGGAGTTCCTACAGTTTCTCTAAACAGCAATGCTTCAACTCCACTTTCATTTTTTTTAAAGTGGACAGAGGCGTCGAAGTATGGCAAGTGATGAGCGAAGTGACGAGTTTCGGTTTGTCCAAGAAACTCTGCTCTAAACCTGCAGACGACTGCACGAGGGCCTGACCACAGTGTTGGTCATTTCATCCCTCAGACCCCTCAGGATTGGAGAATATGGCCTCTTTTACTGTAACCAGAGCCCCAGCTCTCAGCACCAGCAATGATCCTTCACATGAAAGTCAGGTCATTTTAGAAGTTCCTGTTTCCTCACTGGAGGAAAACTCAGAGTAAACAACACAAGCGGTCAGAACGAGAGAGCAATCTAAAAACATCAGCCAACATAAACAGACCAGAAGGGCCTGAGAGGACGATCCAGAAAGGGAGGCTGGCCAAATATAAATCAAATGAACATCAAGGTTGCTCTCCTGAACGAGAAAAGACATCGTGTTAAAGAGCTCAAAGACTGTGTCTATACATCTTTAACGTTCAGTAGTAACCTTATTTTGCCAGGACATGACAATAAAAAAACCCCAAACTGATGACATCATCCAAAATCCCCTATATTTAATCAAAGACTTCTTTATGTTAAGAAGCACAATCCCTGTTCAGGCCAATGACAGCGCAGCTATAGACAAGAACAACTTCCCACATAATATACTCACACAGAATTCTGCCCTTACAACTGCAAGAAAACAAATGAGGTTAACCTACATTTAGTCTCGACAAGACAAACACCCACATGACAACCACTGGGAGCACTGCAGCGCGTTTCTATGAGATATATTGCCTGACGTGATCGTGATAAAGCTCTAATCCGCGTTAAAAGACGGGATCCAGATTCCTTTGCAGTGCGACTGCCCATCGAGCTTTTTAATACCGAGCAGAAAATAAACGCAGCTGACCAACACCCAAAAAATTTGAAACGGTTCATAGCGCCTCCAGAGTGAATCTCCACACAGGAAGATTCGGTCAGACGGCCTCATTAAATGTGTCACAGGTGCCTTGAGCTCTGGAATATATTCCCAGTTAGACATTTAGAAAAATGCCATTAAGATAGAAGCATCTGCCTTTTAGTTTAGGATTAATAACACGGCTCTCGTGAGGGCTGAAAAGATTAAATCATCTTTTGCGTTTAAAAAAAGAAAAAAAAGAAGCTTTGCCAAACTCCAATGTGAAGATCTGCGGCTTTTCGTCCCTCTAAATAGATCATTTGTGGTTTGGTTGCGTATCTGATGACAACACAAAATTGAAAAGGTGAAATTATGTGAAAAAAGCAGCCACATTAAAGACAGAAAGAGCAACAGATGATGACGTGTTTCAGCCCTCTTTGCTGCCTCTTCTTTCTGTAATCATTTTACTGTCTTGTTGCAGTTGTGCACGTCTTTAAGGTCATTTTGTACTTTTTATCCCATGAATGTGTCTATTTTAGACCTTCTGAGTCAATCTGCAACACCTGTGTGCACATCCACACAGTTTTGCTTGTTCTTTTGCTCATTTAGCGTGTTCTGTGGTTCCTTTTCCTTTCTTTTTCTGGTAGTTGTGTATTTTTATACTCTTGCTTTCTCTTGTAATAAATTTGAATTGCTCTACTGTCATTTTGTGGCCCTTTTCATTCTGTGAATCTCAGTAGTTGTCGTCATTTCAGATCATCTGCACATCATCGATCAGTTCCCGGGGGTCCTGCAAGTAATGGAGTACACAAAAGCAAAGCCTTGACAGCGGCTATGTACAAATCCATCACAGGCATGAACTGTTTGATTTCAGCCCTGTTCAGGATTTTGGATCTGTGTCTCTTTATAGCATCTTCATATCTCTGCAGATGTTTTGCATTTATTTGTGAAATCTTGGAGTCTTTCTAGCCACTCTCTACCAAATGTCATCTCTTTGTAGCAGTTTTGTTTCACCTTATAGGCATTTGTGTCTCTCAGTTTTCTTTGGGGTTTTTTTTTGTTTGTTTTTTTTAAGGACAAACTGAACTGTTCAAAAAATTGCTTTCTGCTATAGACGATCCCCTATTTAACCCCCCTGCTATGATGTTATGGTAAATGGCCTGTATTTGTATTTACTAGTCCCTAAGGACCCCAAAGCGCTTTACACATCCAGTCATCC